TATGCCTATCTGTATGCCTATCTGTATGCCTATCTGTATGCTTATCTGGATGCCGATCTGTATGCCTATTTGTATGCCTATCTGTATGCCTATCTGTATGCCGATCTGTATGGCGGTACCCACCTCTAGAACTAATGCTGCTCCAATAGTAACCGTATACTGAGCTTTTTTGCTACTTATCTCTATACCTCCAAGTACTGAAGCTCCCACGGCAGCAAGAACTAGAAAATTTTTATAACAAATTAGAAAGAATAATTATAACTTTTTAGTAAATATAATTTCAAATTCAATTATCGCTAAAAATAGAAAAAATTAATACAGAATTAAAAAAGAAAATATGAATAAAAAGTTAAATTTAAAAATTTAAAAATGAATAAATATTATTGAGTAATACTTTATGCTGGATGAATTGATATAAATGAATGAATGAATACTGGGTGAATAGATTTGAATGAATGATCAATACTGGATGAATTTATATAAATAAATGAATAAATTCTGGATGAATATGAATGAATAAATGAATATTTGGTGAGTGAAAGTAAATGAATGAAAGAATATTGGATGAGTGAATGTAAACAAAAGGGTCGATTTTTGGCGAATCAGGATTACAACATTCTGAATAAATTTTTTTTCAACCCAGACAAAAAAAGTACCACAGATTTTGAAAAAAAAGAAATATATAAAGTCTAACCTGCACATATTGTGAATAGTCCTAAAGCAACAACCTCTACGATGGCACAGATCCCACCAATCACAATGAAAACTAAATATAAATAGATATCTATATATACTATATATACTAAATAGGTATCTATATAATATAGCTCTTCTCTCATAAATATTTGTTTACTATAGTTGGCCATAACTGGTTGACATTTATTGATGAAACCAATGGGTACCCTGGGGATGACAAAGGCTGACAAAATTTGGAAATTTTAAAATCCACGGGCAACGCCGAGCACTTCAGCAAAAATCATTAAGCGCGAGTAAACGACTGGAGTAACTATAAGAATAATAATATAAACCTGGACAACACCAGGTACTCCAGCTGGTAATCTATCTATATACTTTGCCTGTATATTTGTTTGTTTGTTTGTAATGGATAAACGTCAAAATGGCTGAACCTATTGGGTCCAAGTTGTGGGACCTCACATAATCCCAGGAGAGGTTTATGGATTATTAGAATTGAACGTATCGGGTCCAAGTTGTGGGACCTCACATTATCCCAGGAATGATTTATGGATTGTTAGAATTGAAAATTTGCCTTCACAAATTCCGATTTTTAAAATCAGCAAAAACAATCGATATAAAAGAGCAACAATAACGAGTTAAAATCGAAGATGGGCGCCAAGCGCCTTAAAAGCCTAGTGTATATATACATTATATATGCCAATATATAATAATAATAATAATAATATAAGGATAAGCAATTTAATGATCTAGCATTTTCTCTTTGGATATCAAGGAATTATAAACTATAACAGGGTGTCCCAGGAAACATGACATTTTGTGAATAGTTTTGAATGTCTTCTTCACACTGTATTACATATCAAAGACTTTTTGCAGTTTATTTCGTTAAACCAATCTTTACTATAAATATATTTAATTTCGAAATCAATTTTACTATAATATAACTGCTATATAGTATTTTTTACATTCTCTTTGGTATCAAACAACATAACAAATCATTTTTAACTATTCTAAGGTATTCGCCAGCTGTCATGTTTTGTGGAACACCCTGTAGTTCCGAAGACGTTACTCTGGTGTGACGTAAAAGTCTACCTTCATATTTCATATTTCTATTTAACTACAACGCATAAGATATTACAAATAAGCAATCACAATTTACTATGCAGCTTGGACCCGCCTAACCAGGGTTGGTTGAGTTACACACATCTATAGTTATGTTTTTGGATAGGTAAGGAGTTGATTGGGAGGAAGGAGATTGTCAGGTGATCTGTGGCAGGGTGAGATCAGAGGGATTAATGTAGAGATAAATTAAAATACAGGGTGTAAAGATGAACGTATCGGGTCCAAGTTGTGGGACCTCACATAATCCCAGGAGAGGTTTATGGATTATTAGAATTGAACGTATCGGGTCCAAGTTGTGGGACCTCACATAATCCCAGGAAAGGTTTATGGATTATTAGAATTGAACCTATTGGGCCCAAGTTGTGGGACCTCACATTATCCCAGGAAAGGTTTATGAATTGTCAGAATTGAAAAATTTGCCTTAACAAATTCCGAGTTTTAAAATCAACAAAAACAATCGATAAAAGAGCAACAATAAAGAGTTAAAATCGAAGATGGGCGCTAAGCGCCATTATATATATGTAATATGAGGAATAATTATAATGTTTTCATAAATTAGATTCTGAGATTTTTTTTTCCTATTGTAAATTGTTAATCCCTTCAGAACGTGTAGTGGTAAGAATAAGTTTGTATAAGAATATGTAATTTAATAGTCTAAGATTTTCTCTTTGGATATCAAGGAATTATAATCTATAACAGGGTGTCCCAGGAAACCTGACAGTTTGTGAATAGTTTTGAACGTCTTCTTCACACTGTATTAAATATCAAAGACTTTTTGCAGTTTATTTCGTTAAAACAATCTTTACTTCAAATATATTTTATTTCGAAATCAATTTTACTATAATATAACTGCTGTATAGTATTTTTTACATTCTCTTTTGTATCAAACAACCTAACAAATCATTTAAAACTATTCTAAGCTATTCGCCAGCTGTTATGTTTCGTGGAACAACCTTGTCAACCATTAACTATAAGATCTCTCAGTCCCTCTGTGTAATAAATTAAAATACAGGGTGTAAAGGATGGTGGATACACAAACAGAAATAAGCTAATAAAGTTTCATTAAAAATAAATATTTTTTGTTTTTATATAAAATCTACTCACATATAATATACAACTAGATTTTCGCATTTAAACCTCTCATAATTCTTAAGATAAAGATACCTTGTTTCTCGAATCCCCCTGGACCACTTTGACCCTCTCCTCTAGCATCAGAATTACAGGCTGATCCGAAGCCGTTGTATGAGTATCTAAATAAACGCAAAGATTAAATCTATCTATATATATATATACTTTGCTTGCCTGTCATTTTGTTTTCCTGTCTGTCTGTCCGTTCGTATCTAATAAATGTCAAAACGGCTGAACCGATCTGGCCCAATTTTTTTGTAGGACCTCGCGTGACCCCAGATTGGTTTATGGATGATCTAACTATTAAAAATTTGCCTCCTTCAAAATTCTATTTAAATTTTTTTTTTAAATCCACGAATTTTTTTGTTTGTCAGATCATAACTCAGGAACCAATGGACCGATTTGTCAACAGATTTGTCAACAGATTTGTCTCACAGGAATGTTCTTAGCTTGGTTTTGAGACTCTAAGTTAAATGGGTCGACTGTAAATTACGACCAAGTGCAGGTAAAATGCGGGAGTGACTGCGAGTACCCTGGGCAACGCTAGGTTCCCAAGCTACATAGTATTTATATGAAGACACAGGTTTTATATATTTATAAAACAGTTTTGTATATCAAGTTCTATCAAAATATCAGAACAATACTTTCAATTATTATCTGTATCTCAAAAGCGGAATTGGGATTCGATTCAAAATCTTAAATACCTGCAGTATGTGGTGGAACGTTTTCACTTTTCAGAAAAACATAGAAAAATCAAAACGAAACGATCATTTTTTAAACGATCGTCATTAACGTCTCGTCTCATCCCTGGTGGAGGAATTAAAAAAATCAAATTTACTAAGGTAAATTTACTAAGATAAATTTACAAACACAATAATTTTTTTCTTCAGTAAAACTTGCACATCGTCGTTAAGCTAGTCCATTTATACAATTTCAAAATTAGCAGTTCTTTTTTCTCAAAACGAAGATTCGTTAGTGTTGAAAAATCAATAACGAAACGAAAAACGAGAGTTTTTTTTGGTTCGTTTTAAAAACGATTAACAACCCTACCTACAGACTTGAAAAGGTCCGAAGTACCCCTCTCCATCCCTGGATCTAGAGGAACCGAACCCTGATCCTAAATAAATTTTTATTAATTTTGTTTGAAAAAAGTTGAAATAATGAAAAATAAAAATAAATTTATTAGTTAAATTTTTTAAAAATTAATTACACCTTGTCGTAACGTAGGAACTAAAAAACAACTGACTAATCTAAAATGTCGTCTTCGTTCTAATTGCTGGAAAAACAAAGCTTTTTCTCTTTTTCTCGTTTTTACTTTTTTCTTGGTGGATGCGTTTTAAATGAAAACGTATTTCAATCGAACGCATCTTGTCCTGGTTAGTTCAGGGTGAATTATGTATAAAAAGGTGAATGTCAAAATATACTGATTGATAGTTGGTGTTATATTACAGAGGTTAACGCGTAATTTTTACTACTACGCAATAATGTACACAAACAAAAATAAATCAAAAGGATGATAAAATTTTTTTGATTGTTGAATGTTTAGTTTCGTTTTTCAGATTTTGTAGCGAGAAGGGTTGCATGTAAACTTAAAAATTTGCAAACTTCATCCCCTGTGCAAAATTTCTATCGCAAATTCAATGTTTTGCAAACACATTAGCACAATAAAGAGACTGTTAACCAAGCAAGAAAATTCAATACTCTTCTGTTCAATTTTCATCGTCAAATAAACAAACTTTTTGTTTGCTGTGTAACTTAACTTCCGCAAGTTAAAAAAAATGTTAAGTAGATTAGACCAACAACTGAGAATATTTATTGCCTATAATATTAAAGTATAACAAATAAACTTGTCCAATTTATGAAGTAAATATTAAGTAAATATTATCTCTGTTAATTGATGAATTCCATTCCGTTTTAATGTGTTTTGATATCTGATTATACAAGAACCAAAATTTTTGTTTATTTTGAAAACAAAGTGAACTGAGCTGAAAACTTTAGAATGGTGGATATCGAGATTAATGCTTGATCTCCTCTTTTTCTTAATCTCCAGATTAAATAATGCCTGTTCTCCTCTTGTTATTAATCTCCAAATTAATTAAACGATCGGGATTAAGGATATCCCATTCAAAAGTTTTCAGCTCAGTTTCTTTAAACCTACTTACATTGGCATAAAAGTACTCAAAATACCTTAATTGTTTAGCTATGTTATATAGTAATATAAGCTTTTAATCATTATTCTTATATACTTTTCCTTCTTTCTACGATTGAGGAATAAAAACATCTTTTGTTCTCTTTATTTCCGTTTTGCTGTTGAATTAAAAAAAATTATTAAATCCACACAAAGGAAGTATTTCTTTGTTAAAAATAGTTTAACATTTAAATCAGAAATCTAGATTTGGTGATTCGCTCATCCATGATTTACGCTTCGTGGCACTTTGGAATTTTCGAGAAAAGTTTGAAAATTTCTCCCGAAAATATTTTCTAACATTTCCATCTCCTGCGGCAAATACAGGGTGTAACAAAATATTGATTTTGAAAAAGGGTGTTCAAAAAAACTTTCTACGCAATGGAATTTTGTTTTGTTATGATTCGTTTATTTTTTTGGATCCATGTGTTATTGTGGCGGGGAATATATATATAAATATAAATACATTATCATGTATTAGGTAAGAATGTATGCCAAACTTTTGTACGTAGTAAATAGTTCTTATTGTGCGTCTGACTTGTTATACCCTACATAGGGCCTAGCTGTTCATAAGTCATTGTTTATAGTAAATCAAGATATTTTAAAGAAAATATAAGAACCGTTATTTTTTATCCAGGATATAATTGCGATAGACAGAGACATGTCTTACATAACAAAAGTTTCCAAAACAGGTTTTTGGAATTTTTAAAATTTCCGTTTGTGTCTTTTGAAGCATATATTTTAATAAACTAGTGCCTCATTATTATCATAACCTTGAATTCGAAACAATAAAAGAAATTCAATGTTTAAGGAAGGGGTGACAAAGAAAAGTACAGAAGAAATTAAAAAGTGGAGAGAAAATAATAATTGAAATTGGAATCATTTAAAGTTGTGAAGCCCCTTGTTTATTAATCCACAAAATCCAAGTTTTTAAAATGAGCGTTACATGCGAATTGTATATTTTGAATCAATTCAATTAGTTATTTATTTATTCTACAAATGGTAATTGAACGAGAGTGCAAAACTGTAAAGAAAAATATCAGGATTAAAAGCCGCGACAAGATCTACAAAATCTACAAAACGTGTTTACGTTATTGTAACAAAACACAAAAAATTCGCTCTTTTGATGTAATTAGGAGGGCTCTTTCTGAAGACTTGCTTTCAAGATTCGATTTTTTAAAATGATTAAATAACCCGGACAAGAAGCAAAACAAAAATAATTCTGTATAAACTAAATTGTTGTCACTCCCTTTAAGAATTGTGTGTGTTGCATTGTAAATAAAATAAATATGCTCACTAAGAGAAGTATATTCTGGTACACGGATCAAATTCTAAATCATTTTCATGTAAACTGAGCTGAAAGGAATTTAGAAAATTTGCGGAACAGACATAACTATTCCTAGATCGATTCACTTATTGGATTTTCATATTGGATCCAACATATTGGACTTTCATATTAGATTTCCATATTGGATCCAACATATTGGATTCCCCATATTGGATTTCCATATTGGATTTCCATATTTCTTGTATATTCATATTGGATCCAACATATTGGATTCCTCATATTGGATTTCCATATTGGATTTCCATATTGGATTTACATACTGTATTTCCATTTTGTATATCATATTGGATTTCCATATTGGATTCAACATATTGGATTCCCCATATTGGATTTCCCTTTTGGATTTCCACATTGTACTTCCATATTGGATTTCCATGGATCCAACATATTGGATTTACCATACTGGATTTCCATATTGGATTTCCATATTGGATTCATCATAATAGATTTTCATATTGGATTTTCATATTAGATTCATCATAATGGATTTTCATATTGGATTTTCATATTGGATTTTCATACTGAATTCCTCATGTTTAATTTCCAAATTGGATCCATTTTACTGGAGTTCCATATTGGATTTCCTTATTTGGTTCATTATATTGGGGTCAACATTTTTGATTTTCATTAGATCAACGCGACGTACCATTAACTATATTGCATTTAATATTAAAAATATCATACGTTTTTAGCACTGCACTGTTGACATATCTCCTGATAACGTTCTTCGCTCATATAAATATATTTATACATATATTCATATATATGTTCGCTATAGATGGCCAAACGGCATAACCGAATTGACCGAATTTTTTAAAAGAAACCAATGGGTAAGCTAAAAAAATTTGATTTAAAAATCGATTTTTTTTTTGTAAAAATCAATTTTTATTCTTCGAAATTCGATTAAAAAAAATTACCCGAGCAACGTAGTAGAATAAAACAATTTTTAAAATGCCTTTAAAAACCTGTTTATAGAAATCTATGAAAAACTAGCATTAATCTGCGAAGGAACTGGTTTTACAAATATGAAAGCAATCCTTCTCATTGATCTATTTATAAAAATGTAGAATAAGGCAATATACGTAAAACCAAGGTTATAATGCAAGGAAAGTTATTTGCAGTTGCGTATACTCTGCGTACATATTGAAACCAGTTCTCTCTGAGGGGAATTTGTAAACAAGAATAGATGCATCAGTGTTACTCTAGTATCCGAGGAGGTTAAAAGCTTAAATTTTGATAATTTTGATAATTCACATAATAGTTTCCTATGACCAGAATATTTTATTGATTTTTTATGTGAAAGATGGATCTCATGCCAGGATTCGACATGCGTCGTGTTTACATTACCGCCCAGAGACAGTACACTTCAGTCGAAAAGATGCGTACTCCTCTGAAATAACTTTCCTTGCATTATAACCTTGTGTAAAACTAGCTACAACGACGTGCATCCAGAATATTTTCAGTCATACTTTAATCTCTAATTCAAGACCTTTAAATACTTCAATTTAAAATACAAAGCTCAACAACAAAATATTGCATAGCAAATACAAAAAATTTGCATTTAATGGGTGAAAGGGGGTTCTAAAATTAAGACGCAGTGGACTTCTAATCCAGTGACCTCGTGAATAGTTTCAAAGTTGTGCTAAAATTAGACAATTAATGTTTTAAAAGCATTTTGAAACTAAATTCCAAAAATGGGCTCAATTGCTTCTCATTCTTATTCTAGATTAATCTTTCATTCATTGAATTTTGGTTGATTTGAATAAGATATTGGGTTACCAATCAAAGGATGAGAGTTCAGGGAGATTCTTTCTTATTTTATACTATATATATACAAAAAACATTCAGTTATCAAACAAAAGATTTACTAAACGTAATTGTTCATTATTTCAATTATGAAAGAATATTCAAAAATAGTGGTTTAACTTTATAAACAATTTTAGCCGTAGAATTAATAACATAGTTCACTCAACACGTGTCAGAAAAGAAAAACTATAATTCTTATTTTCAGATGAAGATATAAGAGTCGAGCTGTGCAGTGTTTATTTTTAAATCCTACAAAAAGCTTGTATTTTGCTATGAAACCTGAAAAATATGTGATTCATTTTTGATTTTTCAAAACATAAATAATATAGTTTTAGTAATGCACGTTAAGTATAATGGCCGACAGAAGGGTTGGTTCCAGTGTGCAACGCGCGTTAAACTCCTCTGTGCGCGCACAAACACACAAAATAGACAGACAGTCAAACCCACGCATGATCGATTTTCTTCAAATCTCAGTCTTCTTATATAATTTCTTCTATACGGGGAGGGGGATAAGAAATCAAAATAAATAAAGGTTTGGGTTAAGGGGTTGTTTGCATGTAACAATAAGACTGTAAACCAAAACAAAAATTGGATAAATTTCTTTGTAGGAAAAGGAGTACCGGGCTTGGGCCATCAACGTTTACTAAATTTTGTTTGTTTGTTTACAATTAAATAATTTCTGAGCTGATACTTGATAGCAAAATTTAATATAACTAGGCTTTTACGCGACTATATTCTATTTAAACTTTTAATTGTGGCTTTATCTTTGAGCAACTTCTCTTTGTACAATATAAAATAATAACAAAAAAGTTCGCGGATTTAGTAATATTTTTTTCGCGCGTTTAAAAAAATTTACAAAGGTAAAAAACTTTTAGAGACAAATTTTTTAATTTTAAGCATCCGTAAACCTTCCCTGGGGTCATGTAAGGTCCCACAAAATTGTGGGCCCGATTGGTTTAGTCGTTTTAACGTTTATTGGATACAAACTGACAGACAGACACCCAGACACCCAAGCTATAGTTAAAATCTCTAAAATTAAAATCAGCTGAATGCGCGGGAAAGATCAATCTGGACCTAGACAGGACCTACGCAGAGCCTCAAAACTAAATCTGGTTTTCTTCAAGGATATAAACACTAGTGTAAAGAACCAACAGCTGGGTTTACTACCTCGACTCAGGGGGGGGAGGGTAGAAGGTATAATTCTTCCCAAGACCCCACTTCCCCATTAGTGCACAACTCTCAATCTTTAAAAAAGACAATACGCCATTGTGAATATATGTTCCCATCAGAACAACTTAATAATTAGAATTATATTCAAATCATATTATGTTAAAATCATAAAATAGCATCATAAATAAAACCATATTACGTTATATGTTATATTATGTTATGTTATCGCATCATAAATAAAAGTGTCTGCAGTAACGATTAACGTCTAGTTTATAATAAACATTTGTTCTAATCTAAAATAAAGAATCTATTTATGGCCAAAATTACCAAAAAATTTCTTTGTAACTTTGTTTGAGCACACTGAAAAGGACAAAAGTTTAAAATCTGTGAAAAACTACATGATATAGCATTAAGGAAAAAAAACAATATAAAAAAAGAGAAAGTTTTATTAATCCGCAAAAGTTTTTGTAATCCAAAAACAATCTGAGCTGAAAACTTTAGAAAGGGATATCCTTCATCCCGATCTGTTAATTAATCTGGAGATTAATAACAAAAAGAGTACAAGCATAATTTAATCCCGAGATTAAGAAAAAGAGTGGATCAAGCATTAATCCCAATACCCAACATTCAAAAGTTCCCAGCTCTGGGTTATCAAAATTGTAAATATTTTCATTATTATTATTCCATATGAGATAAAAAGACACTAAAAAAAATATTTCTCACAAATTCGAGGGAAAAACCTAAACATTAGATTAAAACGAAACTTTTTGGGATTCACAATAATTTCTTAAATCAAAGAATTTTCCCTTTTTGATGTAACCTACTTTTATTGCGCGAAAAGTGTAATTAGAATATTTTAAAGATTTAAAAAACTGATGATTTCTTTATTTTTATTTTTATGACAACATTTTAATTTTAATTGCAATAGCTGCAGACACCAATACCTATAGATGTAAATAGCCCCAAAATCAAAATTTGAGTTATATGTCATTTTTTCCGTGCGTCTGTGCGCCTTCCAAAATTCAAATAAAACAAGTTCAAATCAATCTTTCAACTTTGTTAAAAATAAATCTTTGTCACTTAAATAAACTGTGCAGGGGAAGACGACCATTAGTTCGGAGGCAAAACGACTAAAAAATAGGATCCGGATCCTGGATTCGCACTGGAAGAAAGGATCCGGATCCATTTCTTTCCATAAAAACTGAATTTTTGTCTTATTTTTTTCGTTTTTTATATGCTAAAACTTAATGAACCATTCAGAAATCAGGAAATTTTTATAATCTCTCTTTTTTCAATAGTTCAGAATTTGAGTTTAAGAGTAAATTCTTTCTTTGCAGTTTTTTGTTGATATTTTGCCCCTAGGATCCATGGATCCGCATATTTTTGCGAATCCGGATCCGAATCCAGGAAGCCAAAATCTTGCGGAACCTAAGCACTGCACTGGGTTAATGTGTTTTCCAGACTTTAGCGGATTTAAGAAATTATCGACCTGGCCATGGGGATTCAGAATGATTCAGCAGTACAGAAAATTCCCCTTTTGTTAAACCATCAAAAAAGTTCCCCAAGAAGGTTTAGTTTTTTCTCCTAGGTATTTGATTTATTTATTACGGGTCAATGTGTACATCAAAACTTACTGATAATTCCTTTGTCCTAATTCTCATGACAAAAAAGTTTTTTTCCAACTGAGGTCATTGTGTACAGTAGACTTTGGCGGATTTAGGAAATTATAAACTCCGGGATAAATTTTTAATTTATATACATCCTAAATCTTACACATATCATGTTTATTGAATTAATTTTTGTTTAAAGTTATTCTTACTTTTTTCGTTTTAATTGTAGTGACAAACATAGCCAATTTGTTCTTTTTACCATGGGTCATTAAATACATTAAATTAAACGATATTGACACATGGGATTCACATTGTTTCAGCAGAAAAGAAAATTCCCTTTAACAAAAGCACTGACATCAAAAGTGAATCATAGATTTTACGGAAAAGGGGGGAGGGGGGA